ACATGAAATTTTCACTGGTTGTTTATATTTGCATTTTCTATACACGATAACATTTTCAAAATATTTTGATTTATTTTGAACTGTTTAGGGACATTTTCATTTTCCATTTTTTTTTAGTTTTTTTTCTAAAAATTTCAATAAAATTTTATTTGTTGGTTGCGAAAGCTTGAAAATTTAATAGAAGGCTCCTAATATGTTGTTTCAAAGGCAGATGAAAAATATTAATAATCCTTAGTCACAATTTTTTTTTATAAGCATTTAAAGTTCAAAAATTGACAAAATATGGAAAAATCACGAAAATTAGCAAATTATTTTGAGTTAAGAATTCGTAAAAATTTTTCTTTTTAAATCTAAGATTTGAAAATCTAATACAAGATTACTCATAAGATTGTCTACCTTTATCAATAAAAAAATTTCTACCGGAAAGTCAAATTAAATTTTTATGAGCGTTTGAAATTCAAATTTTTACAACATTGGATATTCACTCGATTTCTCATGTGGCAATTTCCTTTTTTTGTTGTAATTAAAAAACGAATTACTGTAGATACATGAAAATTTCACTGAATGTTTATATTAGCATTTCCTATACACCCTACAATTTTGAAAATATTTTGACACTTTTTGAGCCGTTTACGGACATTTTCAGTTTTCAATTTTTTTAGTTTTTTTTTTCTATAAATATCAATTAAGTTTTATCTGTTGGGCCAAAAAGTGTAAAAATTTAATACAAGGCTCCTGATATATTGTTACAATATCAGTTGAAAAATATTAAAAATACATAGGCACAATTTTTTTTTATAAGCATTTTAACATCGAATTTTGATAGAATTTTTCAAAATCTCGAAAATTATTAATCATCGTAATTAATAAATTATAAAATGTTCAGTTTTTATAGCTAAGGATTGAAAATTTAAAACAAGATTCCACGTAAGTAGTTAATTCTCTTACCGAAAAATCTAAAAAATATACAATCACAGTTTACTTTTATAGTCATTTTATGTTCAAATTTGGACGAAATTACATATTAAAAAACCTAGTTATTTTGTTGTGATTATATAATATTATTCGTGGGTACCTACTTGAAACTTCTAAAGTGTACTATTATATGTATATATATGATAGTATCAGGGTTTGTTGTTGATGTTGATGTATAACGTGTTATAAGTACCTAATGGATATTGTGATAATGTGATATGATTAATTTGGAATTTATTATAGGTCAATTTTTTTTTAATACCATAGATATGTATATAATTTGTATTAAACCTAGACTGACATACCGTCTTCGCTCAGAATCGTTTTTCTTATACAATGATATTGTATCATTGAATTCAAATTTAATAGCATCCATTATACAGTGACCCACTTGTAACCTACTGTACAACAGAGCGACATCCACTTACCCACCTTTTTAATGTTCACTTTAACAAATAATAATATTAAAAAAAACTGTTTAGCTTGTTCCAAATATTAATTTGCTTTATAATTATACTTGTCATAATGATAATATTTATTCTTTATAGTTAAACTTTTATTGTTTTTTTATTCACCAGTGTCCAGTACAGTTGTAGTACTAAATGTTTAAGTTTCTTTTAATATAATATATTGACAATATACCATTATATCGAATTTGGGAAAATAAAATAATTTTTCTAAATTATATATTTGTATATAAATTAATTTTTATATTAGTAATTGCTAAGTAGTATGAAACAATTAATATGTTATTTTTTAATATTTGAAAAAAAACTACAAAAATTGAAATTTGAAATGGTCCGTAAACAGCTAAAAACAAGTTGAAAATCTAAGCATTATTTCAACTACTTGTCGACTGTCGTGTACAAAGACACAAAAAAAAAAATTAAATAAAAATAAAACTCACATCATTGTAAAATCAATACATTCATCGTTCCGCTCAAAATCTACAATTAAGGAAAAACGGGAACTGTTAGGTACACAAAATTGGTTTTGGATTATAATGTAACTAATAAAAAAATTACCGAAGATAAATGCAATTTTCACTGAGTGTTTAATGTGTTTATACAATAACATTTCCTATCCGCCATAAAATTCACAAATATTTTTCTTATTGTAATCGTAAAAAAAAGTATGCAAAAACAATTATAAATGTTTTGAATCCATATTATTATACTTATTTCATAAGTATTAATTAATACCATACTTGTACCAAACACTTTTCCTTAATGCATATCACTTAATCAGTGAACCATTTATTTTACGTTCTTACAGAATAATAGGTTTTGAAATCTACTTTAATTTTGCCCCCCCTTAAAAATTACCCTATGAGTGCCCATGCATGTAGACTATAGGCTATTTCAACAATCTTTGAATATAAATTATAATACCTAGTTGTTATATTGAACTGTTAAAAACGGCCTTAATTGGTTTAGATAATGTTTATACGTTGGTTTATAATAAAAGTTATTTTATAAGCTTTACCCGTGATTGTGTGTTGTACTTTGCACCGATAGCTTCGAAAATGTTATCTAAATAAATTAGTTTCCTATACCTATATTTATTTATTTTAAAAGAACGTTATATCTACTACATACCTATAATATATAATATATTTATTAAATGGTGTTGTTTTGGCCATGTATTAAATTATATGTGATTGTATGTTTCATTTATCCATATCTATATATACCATTTAATATATAAATTATATACATAAATAAAATAAATAACAGCTTAATCGGAAAATTAAAATTAATTTTCGATCAAACACTTAAACATATTTTATATTATTAAACTTGTTCATAAAGATAATTCATAACTTAATAATTAATTATATCAATGTTATAAAATACGTATACATTCATACAGAATGATACATAAATTATACATGAAACGCCAAAACAGCAATTATTTATAAATGTATTATAACATAGGTAGTTACTTATAAGTCTTATTAAAGTTATGTATAATAATATTTATTAATATATTGATTATTGGCATTGAAGTAGGTAAGTATAAGGTAGGTAATGTTTCTTTTAGTTTATTCCAATAGCTTTATAATGCCGAATTTTGTAACATATAATATTGTATTTACCTTATTTTGATATTCAAGTTATTCAAGTTAAGTATTTATATAATAATGCTATGATACCATAGGTATTATAGGTTTGATTAAAAAAATGGCATAGGGCCATATAGATGACTAAGATGTTAAACATCAATGCGAGCTGGGGGATAATCTTCCCCGCCCACCACCATATCTGCCTACGTAATAATACTACAGATATTTAATATTTTTTTTCCCAAAATATTATCGGTAATTGGAACACAAGAATGTAGAAATTAATAAAAACTGTTTGTCTAATTGTTTCAGTGTTAAGATAATATGAGAAATAGGGATAAATATCCGATGCGTAAGTTATTACTTATTACTATTATTTTCATAATTTAATTTATTATACTAACAAGCTCAGCATGTTCAAAAAATGTGACATCAAAAGTGTCCTTTACTAAAAAGTGATATTTATGGTATTTATAAATTAAAAAATCATATACAATTGTAAACTGTATATTTTTGCCCTATAAGATAATCGTGTAAAACATATACATGTATCAATATAGGTAAAATTATATAACCTATACGTGGTACCTTACTCTGATACAATCAGCCTGTACTCGTGTACCCATACGTGTAAGACGTAGGTAGTATAAACAAAAATGTATTTCTAATTTGGAAATTGTTTTTAAAGTAGTGTTTCTCTTCTAAGTTCTAGCGTTCAATGCATTTGTTCCATCAAAGTCTAAATACCTACCTATAAATAAATATTTTAGCAAATTTAAAACATAAGCCCGAAGCCCCTACCAAACGTGTTGGGTACGCAAAGTTTAGTTGCCACATAGGCACACCCATCTAAAATACTGATACTGTACGTATTACCTATTAATAATACATTTGATTATAGACTATAGTATTACAAATTAAATATTAGGTAGTTATATGGCTATTGGCTACCTACATATTATACTACATAATAGTTATACCGAGCATAAATTTTGTTCTTGTTGTTTTTCACTGAAAATGTATTGCATATACGTATAGGTAAGTGTACCTACTAAGTATAAAGTATTAAAGTAATAGGTATATGTAGTTAAATATTATACGGCGTATGACGAATGTTGGTTGAAAAACGACACCGTAACGAGAAAGTCGATCCTGATGGAGGTATTATACCTATAACAATGTAATAAATAAAAATATTTTTTTCCAACCGAGTGTAAAGAATCACGTACGGTTTAGATTTATGGGTGAAAGAATATAATACATATTATAGTATTAGTATAGTATTGTACATAGGTAGGTACATATTGTAATAATTGTTTACAGTCAGCTTTGAGTGTTATCTACGATTCTACTCCGATGATGACGACTAGGTACGTAAAACAACAAGTGGTTCTCGGGCAGCAGCAGGTCGTCGCGGCTAAAGGTTATAACTTATAATAATATACCCAACTCATTTAAAATATAATATTTAATACCTTTACTATAGGTTATTATATTATTATATATACGGCTGGCCGGCTGAATAATATTATTACCGTAATAAATTTTGTGTACTAACAATTTTTATATTATAATCGATATTATAATATGTGTATAATATTATATACGTAGTAATTAATAATTATTGGTAGGTACATTATAACGACCGCGATTGAGGCTTATCTGCCCGATGATAATTGTACGTATTTATTTTAGTTTTAAGTATTATACAACTTGTTTTCAACGTTCAGTTTATTATAAACCACGCCGGGCGATTATCTGAATGCCATTTCCCACGTACTAACTACTAGCAAGTAGTCGCCGTTGAACCGCTGCCAAAAGTAACCATTCGTAAGACTCGCGTCTGTTTACAAGGGCCAACGTCGAACAAAACAAAACTCGGGAAAGTTTCCAAAACATTTTTTCTTCAATTTCTTCTCGTCGCTGGTGTGCTGCCAATTAATTCCTCGTCCCGACAACTATGGGTGGCAAACACTCTAAAATGGATCCCATGGACGTCGAAGTGCCCGAACTCCAAAAACAGCTGGATCGAGATTCCTATTTAAAACCCTACGAAAGGGAATTCAAACGCAGGTAAATAATGATAATACCACATTGATTTATTACTCACCAATAATTATGATGATTAAAATAATTTAATATAATATAATTATTTATATTTTTAAATGGTAAATATTTTTTTGGGAAAAATAAAATTTTAAGTGTTATGACATTTATTTACATTGGAAATATACCTATTTTATCAGATATAACTTATGATCATTTTTTTTATAGGTATGCGTGTTTTTTGGATTATTTGGAAAGAGTAAAAGATGAGTCAAATTTAGAATCGTTTACAACAGGTTACAAAACGTATGGTCTTCATTTTAATAATGATGGATCTGTGTATTGCTTGGAATGGGCTCCTGGAGCTAAACAGCTCTATCTCACTGGTGATTTCAGTGAGTACCCATTATTTGAATAACTATTTAATGTTAATACATATAACATTACTTATACAGGCTATAGGTTATATGGCCAGTGACCAGGTGACTTAACTTAGGGTATAGGGCTCCAATGTAAAGTAATTTCTGGAGTCCTAAAATTGAGACCCAAGCATTGTTATTTGTAATATTATAATTATTTGTTTTTAAATTATTTATAATTGTTTTACCTTTAATCAACAATTACTCACATTCTTCATTTTATTTTCGCTAATAATTAAAATTATATATATTTAATACTTTTGTATAAAAATAATTTGTATTACTTAGGTACCTACCTATATATTTTGAGGCTATTAAAAAATCATAATTTGTTTTAATATAATTTAAAATGATTTTAATCAAATATAATATACACATTTTTTTATCTTATATTGTGAAAGAATAATTAATGTTTAATGTTTACATTAAAATTAAAATTATTTAGTATTCTGAGTAATTAGTACCTAAGTAAATTAAGTAATTATGTAGTCGGTAGGTACTTATAATAGGAGAATTGTAATTTTCACAGATTTCTTTATTCATAATTATTAGTTATTTATGATTAATAATTATATATTCTAATATTTAGCTATTGTTATATACTGATAGTAAAGAATTTCAATTTACTAATGTATACCATAAAAATACAAAAAAAAATAATGACCAAATAGGTAGGTACTTTTAAAATACCTAATTTTTTTTTTGTATACTTAAATTTGTTTATAAATATTGTTTTGACTCAATAGGGTGTAGAAATACCATAATATACTCCATAATACACTCAAAGACATATTATATTTTCCTAGTAAACAATGTTGGGTTACTAAACATACTTTATGAGTTTTTTCTCCTTACCCTTAAACTGTAATGTTACCAATTAAATCTAATTTTTACTATACAAATAAATAAGAAGTTTTAATTAAGATTTTAAAATGATAATTCGATAAATTAAGTGAAATTTATTAATATAATATATTGATATAAATTGGACTTTATTATTAATAATCAGATCGTATAAAAATCAAGGCCATCAACAAATAACATTGGTACATTTTTTTTAGTTTCTTTGATATTAATATAGTATTTTATCTACACATTGCATTATTAATATTCTCAATACGCTAAAGGATGTATTGGACATTTTTTACTTATGGCCCCTACAGTACTAACTATATTCGTTTTGCAACTATGAACTACACTCAAAGTTAAGTGATTTTTTTTTTTACTACTCCTAAATGCGATGTCAGATAAAAATACACAATATTGTAATACCGATTCAGTCATTGCTCTGCTTGGAATCTCAGAGTCTTTTTTAGTTAAAAATATAGGAAGCCTATTATTATTAGGTTAGGTACTTTATAGTAGGTAGGTTGTAGGTGATATACCTAGTATAATATAAATAATTTAGTAAATAATGTTTTTTTGAGTTAGAAATTCACATATTATAAAAGAATTATGAATTTTATTATAAGAACAGTAGTTAATAGTTGTACAATTTTAGATAATTGGAACAGAGAAAATTATCCCTACAAAAAACTGGAATATGGAAAATGGGAATTAACTATACCACCAAACAGTGATGGAACACCAGTTATTAAACACTTATCAGAAATAAAGGTAGTTTAATTATAATGTATACAATTTTATTTAGGTACTATTTTAACTATAAAAGATTTGGCATGATGATTCTAACCAAACAAATTGTAGATTGTAGTTGAATCTCATCACGGTGAAAGAATGGATCGTATATCACCTTGGGCAACTTATGTAGTTCAACCACCCCGTGAAGAAGGAGTGACATTCAAACAAAAAGTTTGGAATCCATCAGATCACGTGAGTGCTTCTAAAGCTATTATTGGATATTCAAGAAATGTATTAATTTTTATGTAAAATAAAAACAAATTAAATATAAAAAGCTTACAATTGTCAACATTTAAATCTACATCGGAATAAAATATCAGTTTATAAATTGCATGAAAAGAAAATTAAAGAAAATACATATATTTACAGATGAACGGGACTGTTTAAAATTTAAATAATCAAAATATTTTAATTTATAATTATAAAATATTGTAAAATAAAGATTGCAATTTAATATTTCAAAGTTATAATATTATAATATATTATCTATGTATGTAGATAATATGTAACAGTAATTATTGAACATTATTAATATATATTTACCACTATTAAACACAATATACCTAAATTTAATTTATATTGTCAATATTGGCATGAGTATAAGTGAATATGAATGTTATGTACTATGACTGATTGGCAGAAATTAAATATGTGATATGAACCTAATGAAATAGGTTACTAATCAGTAATTATCAATAAATAACCTATCAAATTTATTTTGAAAATAAATATTTATTTTCTAAAATTTGTTTTTATTGGTCAGTAATTCAAACAAGTTAGAAACAATTTATACACACAAAAATAATTATAAACGAAACATCCCAATATTATTATTATAAAGAATTTATGACTATTAAGTCATAGATATTTAATATATAAATATAAATATAGAAGATTATTTGTTTGTAGTTATTATTTACTGATTTGTTAAATACATGTCTCAAGGTATATCAATTTAAATATCCCAAAGTACCAAAACCATCTAGTTTACGAATATATGAATGCCATGTTGGGATTGCCACATCAGAATACAAAGTTGGATCTTACCAAGAATTTAAAGATAATATGTTAGATCGTATTCTGGAGTTAGGTAAGAACAATCCATGTATATATTAAACATAATTAAATTTAAAAAAAAATTCGTGTTATTAAAGGATATAATACAATTCAAATAATGGCCATTATGGAACATGCATACTATGCTTCTTTTGGATATCAAGTGACAAGTTTTTATGCAGCTTCAAGGTAATTTATACTAATGAATAATGATATATTATTAACTATAATACAAATTTTATTGAAAAATAATGTTATTATATACTTAACAAATATTATAGTCCCATTTATTAATTTGTTTTAATTTCAGTCGCTTTGGAACACCAGAAGATCTCAAAGAATTAGTTGATGTTGCACATAGTAAAGGACTATATGTTATGTTAGATGTTGTACACTCTCACGCATCAAAAAATGTATTAGATGGTTTGAATCAGTTTGATAGTACAGATGCTGGTTACTTTCATAGCGGACCTAATGGAAGTCATCCCCTTTGGGACAGCAGACTTTTCAATTATTCTGAGTAAATAAACTTCTTTAGTTTCATGGATTCAAAGTTAAATGTATGATTATTATTTGAATATAGGTATGAAGTGTTACGATTTTTACTGTCAAATTTGAGATGGTATATTGAAGAATATAATTTTGATGGCTTCAGGTAAATAATGATATTCAGTACATGATATAACAATGTTACATTTTATTTTATTTTAGATTTGATGGTGTTACATCTATGCTTTACCATTCTCGAGGTGCTGGTCAAGGGTTCAGTGGACATTATGATGAATATTTTGGTCTTAATGTTGATTCTGATGCATTGATTTACTTGATGTTGGCAAACTACATGCTTCATACATTCTACCCCAATTGCATAACTATAGCTGAAGTAAGTAAAATATTCAATCATTTTTAAGATTCTTATTTTTAATGTACAATTTTATATTACAAATATAGGATGTGTCTGGAATGCCTTCATCGTGTCGACCTGTAAGTGAAGGAGGACTTGGATTTGATTATCGTCTAGGAATGGCAATACCTGATATGTGGATAAAACTGCTGAAGGAGGTTAAAGATGATGATTGGAATATGGGAGATATTGTTCATACACTAACAAATCGAAGGTGGATGGAGAAAACAGTTTCCTACGCCGAATCCCATGACCAGGTTAATATTAGATTAAATGTACTATGTTTTTCAAGTAATTTTAATAAAATTATTGATGATCTTATATAATACTTATTTAATTTTTAAGAATTCAGTATGAAGCTCAATTAAAATGTTGCATTTTAAATTGTATACATTTAATTGGTGGTAGATAATGTTCAACACTTTATTAAATGTCTTCAAAAAATGTATATTAATATGTTAAGGAATAATTTTTCAAGCATTAATTAATTAATTAATTTTATTATAATATTTATATACAGTCTGGGTTTCATTATTTGATCAGAGTATGCTTTATTATTGATAATTTTTTTTAAATGTATTTTGAGTCAAAGAATAAAAGAGCTACCAGAGAATCAAAAATAATTACATCCATACAATTTTCACAGGCTCTTGTTGGAGATAAAACCGTTGCATTTTGGTTAATGGATAAAGAAATGTATACACACATGGCCGTCTCAAGTGAGCCGTCTTTAATTATTGATCGTGGAATAGCATTACACAAAATGATTCGATTGATCACCAATAGTCTTGGTGGTGAAGCATATTTAAATTTTATTGGTAAAGTCTTGTTTAAGTGTAGTTGTAGTTAAAATGTTCTTAACGATTTTTTTGATACAATAGGTAATGAATTTGGCCATCCTGAATGGTTAGACTTCCCTCGTGACGGCAATAATAGTTCATATCACTATGCCAGACGACAATGGAATTTAGTCGATGATGAATCACTAAAATATAAGTTTTTAAACAATTTTGATAAAAGTATGAATCATTTAGAAAATACATATGGATGGTTAAATGACAATCCTGTAAGTATTTATTATTATTGTTGTAGTTGGGTATGATACTATTTCAAAATGAAATGTTTAATATTGTAGGGCTACGTGAGTTTAAAGCATGAAGATGATAAAATAATTGCATTTGAAAGAGGTGGCTTATTGTTTGTATTCAATTTCCATCCAACCAAGAGTTTTACAGAATACAAAATCGGTTTGAATTTGTCAGGCTCGTTAAAAATAGTTTTAAATAGTGATAATTCAGAATATGGAGGACACAGTCGCATTGATAACAATATTACATATCCAACTATCAATGGCGATTGGAGCGGTAGACAAAATCATATTTTCGTAAGTAAAAATATTTTAAAAGGTTTAATTTACTTATACTAACTAAACAATAGTATACAAGTCTTAAGAATTTTATTTTTAATCCTAATTTTCCTACAAAGCCATAAGTAAAAAAAAATATTTACCACAAATATTTTGTTTATTAAATATGCTTGATAGTTAGTATTGTTTGGAAGGTAAATTACCTATTTAAAATAATAAAAAAAAAACTCAATGTTTCCAAGTGTAAACAAGTTGTTTTTAATAATGAATTAAAAACTATTACACATTGTAAAATAAACAATAAAATATTTAAATTATAATACAATAAAAAAAAAAAAAAAAATAGATATAATATCATAAGCTCACACTATTTTCTAAATATTATGGAATATTAAATATGTATAGGTTTTTATTTTATATGTTGGCAAGTGTTAACTATCATAATATCAACTATTATATTTAATATTTAACTTTCGAAAAAAAAAAAAATAATATAGATTCATTTATAACAATATTTATTTATATGTTATGAGGCTTAAATATATATTATTCTTTTTTAATATCTAATTGGCACAGGTTTTTAAGGAATATTTAATTTTTGTTTTAATATTGTAAAAGTTCAGTAAATATGTAATATATTCTTACTATATTTTTTTTTTAAATCTTAGTACATCATTGTTAATTTTTAGGCCGATTATATTATGTTAAATTAAAACAAATTACTTTTAAGTAATAACTGTAGATTTATCACAAGAGAATCAAATGTTATTTTTGTACTATTTAAAAACGGCAACTCAGTTTTCTTAATAATAATTTTATAAACGTTTTTGATAAAATCAAGTTGATTATTATTTCAATAACTATACGATTACTTATTATATTTGAGTTACACCTACCTTTAAAAAAAATATCAGTTGTTAATTAATTTAATGTTAGACATTCTAACAAATTGGATATGTTGAATGTTCTATTTAAAATTCAAAAAAACTATTAAAAAATAAATATTATCAATTTAATATTTAGCTAGTTAGCTAATAGCTACCTATGTCCATGTTTCTCTCCATTTTTTTAAAAGACATTTAATTAATAACACTATTAATTAATAACACTATTATATTAATTATTGCTATGTATAAAACAATTAAAATGGTGTTTTTATTAAACCTTTATTTTATTTTACAGCTATATTTACCAACAAGAACTGCACTAGTTTTTTCTACATCAAATTGAATCGTTGGAACCATGCTTGCCTGCTTTATCTTATAGCAAGTTATGATTTAAGTTATGATATATATTTATCAAAATGAATATTAGTTCATATATTTTACATTTTTATTTTGAAGAATTAAATTAAGAAAAAGTCTGATTTTGTTTTAAAGGAGAAATTGTACCAAATCTATATTTGTTTGAAATTATACTTAAAATCCGTATATTATTATTTGTACTGTTTATGTAATAACTAATAATACAAAAACAATGTCTACTTGATAGTTTCCCAATATTTTGTCAACAGTGAATAGTTGTATTTTACTTAAAAATAGTTATAAAATGACCTATGATTATATGAATAATTGTATGTCAGAGTTATATATTTTTCTTATAACATAAATATATATTATTATTGGATAATTTTTATGTTTTTAATAAAACTACAACTATTTCTGTTTAAAGAAAAGTTTTTAAGTTATAAAAATAATAGCAAACTTTAAAGTGACAAGTGGGTATATTAAGCCGTTTATAAGTTTACTCTGTCCAGAGAGAGAACACGTCGATTCTGCACATTCCCCACATGACACTCTGCCACCAAAACTGATTCTACTACGGTTAGGTGTCGTGTGGTCTTGTGCAAAAGAACCCATATTCGGTAGGCCACAGAGAGTTCTCTAGCTGGACAGAGTATAGTTTAATTTTGCATTGACATTCTATACAGCGAAAAAAAAATGAGTTCTAAACAAGACAATAGAATTAAATAATTATCATTATTCAATGCATTTATTTTGATGAAGTATTTTAACAGTATGTATTATAATACAACCATGAAGTAATATTATTTGGAAGATAATAATTGGAGATGTAACTTTATAATTAATTTTTATGGTAACTTGTCCAAGGTATTTAAGTTAAAACCCTCAATACAATAACAGTTATGTTATTTAATGAGTTTAAGATTTATTATGATGTTAAACATAAAGTGTATAGCATTAAATTTAAAAAAAACTCGTCTTAAAATGTAAGACTAACATAAAGTCAAGTTAACAGAATATGAGCGGTGTACTATATACTTTGATAACAACTATAAAATGCAAGTCATTAATCTTACATTATAATATTATCAACCATAATTTTTAGAATATCATTTAGTTTTAAAGCTTGCCTTGAATACCAAGTTATATTAGATGCACGGTCTAGGAACTTTTTGATATTTAATATGCCAAGAAATTATTTTTGTAATATTAAATTAATTAAGTACAATTAAAATAAAACTATCGTAATAAACAAATTATGAAATAAAATCAATCTCAAATGAATATTCGTTACATTCAATATGAAGTATGTAACAGTAAAATATGATTAAGTATAAACTTACTATTACTTACTAAAATTTACTACTTATCTATTTTGAGAGTACAGTTAAAGTCTTGTCAAGCGAACACATATATAAAAATATGATTTTTATATGAGGTTTATTTCGCTGGGCTGATATTGTTAAGAATTCCTGAAGTTTAATTTTTTACCATTTCATCTGGCTTATCTACAGGAGCAATCTCATTAGGCAAAAAACTATTATGCCTAAGTTGAGAGTCTTTTTGATCTTTGTCAGCAGTAGAAGCAGCATTGTCAGCAATTGATGCCTTTTTTATGAATGATATTAGATCCTTTTTTGGTGGTATAATAGGTTTATTAGGCGGTACAGGAGGTGGTGTCCCACGTCCCACTGTTGTTATTTGTTTCTTAATTAATCCAGGAATATTGCTTTCGGAAGCATTGGGAACAGACATGTTACGTTGAATACCAAACAATGATTTTTTGACAGTGCTAGTTGAACCAGAGTCCGATTGCATACTACGACCAAACGAAATAGGGTGTTTTTTAATGGTGTCTAAAGGTGTAGAACAATCTTCATCGTCTTGAGGTTTATCTCCCTAAAATATACAGTTTTGGTTTTTTAAATGTATAAAATGTTGCATTCACAAATAAAAAGTGTATTGAGGTACCTGTGTATCATTAGTTTTACCACTAATTGGTTTCAAACAACGCAAACTTTGACCAGGATTTACTGATCGAGCAATTCCAGTCACTAAAAACACAAAAAAAAAAGGGAAATTAAACATTATAGTATATAACATAACCTAAGTAGGTATATTTCATTTAATAATCATATTTATTAAAAATTTAAAATAAAATTTCAAGAATATATGATATTTTTATTTCACACTATTGTAAAATATTTGAGTTGCATTCTAATAAAAAATTTAATTTAAAATATTAAAAGGTGCTAAAAAAATGTAGATAGTTTTTATTTAGATTTGATCATTATTGGATATATGGCAATTACTCCATATTCTTATATCTTAAGTAAGATACACAGACATTTGTTGTCTCTGTTTTACAAGTGCGTAATATAGCAAATTGTACGCTCAGCAGAACACTTGTAGGTCCGTTTAAAAAGTAGAGTGAATTGACCTCTTATACAATTTAAATGTAAGATTATTACCTAGGCCAGTGTTTCTTAAACTTTTTTATCCGTGGAACCATTTTTATGAAAAAAAACATTTAAGCTCCGCTGAACAATGGGGTCATCTAGGTAATCTCATCGAATTTTTATTATATTTTAATTTCAAAGAGAGTTATGAGTATCTTAAGACTTTAAGGCAAACAATTTACAATTTTAAAATATTCATAACTCGTTTGAAAATTAAAATATAATTAAAACCTATGAGATTGCCTAGATCAGCGGTTCTCAACCTTTTTACATACGCGTACCACTTACACAGTTTATGGTGTCATGCACCTACAACTTGACCAAATAACGTTTTTTTTTTTTTTGCTTATCAAAAATGAATATGTTATTTTACATGTATGGAAATTTATTTTATTAGGAACTACAAAACTATCATAATATAATCATTTAATGCATAACATTAGAAACAAAATGAAATATATAAAATTGTTATTTATATTATTATTAATATCAAATAAACCAAATAATATTTATTGTGATATTGATGCAATCCATTTTTTTAATTAAGTTGGTACACTAGTGGTACGTGTACCACAGGTTCAGAAACGCTGGCATAGACAAGAACCTTTAAACTTTATAAGAGATCAATCACTCTAATTTTTAAACCAATGGAGCTAAATGTGTTTTTCTGAGAGTACAATTTGCTTTATTACACATTTGTAAGACGGATACAAAAAATGTTAGTGCAACATCCTCTTAATACATATTATTTATGATTCATACATTTTCATTGAATTGGAAAATATCGAATAGAACGTTTAAAATGACCCTCAGCAACATAGGCTATCAAGTGTGTTGGGCATTACGGTAAGTTGCGAAATACATGTTTATGTGGGGCGAGGATAAAAACCTGGGTAGTAGACTCATCCGACGTCTGGCAGCTAGCGACGCCAAACGATTCTTGACTAAGGCCAACCACCATGCCACAACAGGCTCCTATTATCTATTATTATACTTTTACATAAAATTTCACTATATAATGGCATTTAATGGCTGTTAAATTATAATTTACTATTTTTATTCTGTTTGACTGAATTTGATGTAATTAATATTACATTAGGTATATCAAATTAAGTATCAAAAAAATTACTTGGACCAGAAACTCGAACACTAGATGCAGTTGCTGTAGGTTGAACCACTTTTGCAACACTACTCATTATTGGATCACTAGGAGAAGACATAATTCTTACACCTGAAACTATAAAATAACCAGATATGCAATTAAAATCGTAAAATATTCAATTCTTTTAGACATAAACAAACAGCAAAATAAGCACTAACAATATTTTTTGGGTGCCTGACTACCTGAGGCGCAAATATTGTATATTGGTTGAATTGCAATGAGTTTTTCCATGAGAGGTCTGAATTGCATTTTTGGTTTTTAGATGAAAGATCCAAATTGTATCATATAATTAAAAGTTTTATATTTTCCTTTTCACTTTTACACAACAATGACTATCATATATATAAATAAGATTTACATGAACGCTTTGAACATGATCATCTTTGAATATTATTATTTATAAACTTTTGAAAAATAAATTAATAGCCATGAATAATATCACAACTTCCACTATCAATTAATAAATTTATATTTTAAAAGTTTAAAACATTGTTGTGTCGCTCGTAGGTTAATTTTTAGTTATATTAGCTACATAAGTTGCATAGAAATATTATTCGGCTATATAGTATAGTGATATTTATAGATCAACAAGGTTCTCTAGTTATAAGACATAAATAATTCTAAATTATTTAATTCTAAAAATTTCTTTATTGGACTCAAAACGGTAACTCAAACCTCTAGCCAACAAACAGCAGACATAATTTTGGTTGTAGTGATATAAATATATCATTTGTCTATGTACTTATAACAAGAATTAAACCAAAATCGAAATTCAAAAATAATATCTGAATATGTTACTCTGTAATGTAAGCTATTAGTAAATGTATCAAAATACTATTTTACCAGGGAACAGTAATATATTGCCTGATAATAGCATACTTCATACTTCGCCAGTACTAAATTGGATATTGTAACTTAATTTATTAAAAAATTGATTAAATAATATACTTTAAAGAGATAAAATTATATAGCGAGACATTAAACTATAGTGGTCGCAATAACAGAATTGAGTTTAACAGAAAATCGTTAAGGTAGGAAGTTGCAATGAACAATAAAAACTGATTCGGCAGAACAAGAATCGAATCTGTATGTAGGCTAGCATGTAAGACCAGGTAAATACAAAAAAAAACATGTAATTTCATAAAAAACCAAGCTCTAATTTTAACTTGTGTGGTCTAATTTTAAATATTTGGATAAAATCTAATAAATATATAGCAATTTTAATAATAGATGTATAGAAACTTACCTAAATTTCAAATATTTTAAATCTACCAATTAACTATCATTATCACATTATATTGAAAAAATTGAAAGTTAATATATATATATATATATATAATTAAATTAATATGATTACCTGAAGATCTACTGGAAAGTTCCATCAAATTATTATGAAGTGCTTCACTTAGTTCTTTTTCTAATGAAATAATTTCACTTCGACATTTTGTTAATTCTGCTTCTAAAGTATTTGTTCTAGAACATCAAACATTAATATTTATATAAGTATATACAAATCTGTTTCAAAAATTAGATAAAGCTAAGTAAAAATAGAGAGGAGTGGCAAATTTTACATTTATTTTTACATGAGATGATCAAATATTACTCCAACACAGTAACACATATTATAATATGTAATCTTTAAATGGTATGGGTTATGGGTAATGTTAGAAGGAGATTAAATTAGCAAGTGTCCAATTATGATTAGATCACTAACAGACACTATGGCAGTGTACTAGTGACAACAACACCCAGCTGTAAGGGTAACCCCTCGCCCACTTAGCAATTAGCGCGGCTGCATACAATGAGAACCCGGCGGCCAATATTTAGAGGTGATAGATTGTGTCTTCCTTAGATGGAATTTTGCACATGAGCTCTTCAATACTATTTTAAGTGTTTATGAGTATATGCGTAGATGCACCTTGCATGCATCAATGTAGAGAACAGCAGCTCTGAGCGCGAAATTAAACGGTAACGGCTATAATAGCGTATAAATAGAGAGCAGATCTTTGGTTTTTATTATATTTTTATTGACCTTATGCAACTTTACAAGAATCAAAAATGTGGCAAAAAAGCATATTTTGGACATGAGAGAAAATTTAGCCTATTTTTAATATTTAGGAATATATTCTATTCTTGTTCATACAAAAATCATGATAAATCATATATTTTGTTGATTTCTCTTTTCTATTTAAATAATTTACCTGTTACCTATGATGCATAAAAGTAATTTATTGATTTTATTGAAGCATTTTAGAGAAAAAAAAATCATATTATCTGCATATTTACAAATTTAAGGAATATTTAATGGGTTTTTTTAGAACATATTAGCATCATATTTTAAGCTTTTAAGAACCTAAAAATCCGCTCTATACTTATAAAGTTATAGCGCCGCCCAACCATTTTCGTGGGCAAGTTCTGAACAAATTAAATACTCCAAATTTATGTCTAATATATTATACATAAATTAAATATTTTCAATTAAACTATACAAATAAACTAACTATTCAAATGGTACCAATATTACGTAAACAAATATTTTTTAATATCTGAAAATTAAAGTTAGGCGATGCCTCAATACCACTAAGAGATGACCGTATTTAGGAGTAATGCTCAGAACCGTGCCAAGTGGGGATCAATGGGGCAGTGTCCTAGGGCAGCAAAAAATGTAAAATTTAATTTTTAAATGTTTAAAAGTTATTATGGCACTGGTAATCAGTCATTAATCATTAAATAAATAGCAGTTCTAATTGCGCTACTCCAATAACAAGTAAGAACATTTAAACAATTTACTTTTTTTCTTCCAAGCTTAGAGCTGCCATCATCTTTTTGCTTTCGGTATCAAACAAAGCCAATTGTTTTTCTAATTCTGCTTCCATCTGTAATGACTTTTTACTTTCTTCTTCCAGCCCTTCAGCCATTGAATCAATTTTACCTTTTTCTTCACTTAATATCTAAAACAAGAATTTGCATACTACAGATTTTACCAAAGGTTTATTATTTTAGTTTTAAAAACTGAATATGATATTTGATAACCAAATTCATTATATTCAAAATAAATGCTGTTAATAAATTAATTGTTTTACTTATTTAAATTATCTTTTATGAAATCAAACACTAAGAGAATGTTATGCCTCCATGTGTTATATTCTATATCCATCTTACGAACATACAAAATATATCAAATTTGTGTTCAAGAGAATCCATTTTAAATTAAGTATGTTATGGGTTCTGTTGAACACAGATTTGCTGCAAGACAGATACAACACATGCAAGCAACATGCTGTCTTAATATAACAGGAAAACTATACATATTGTAGGTTGTAATTATACAAAATTTTTACATAATAGAATTATTAAATAATATTTAAGTAGGTATTGAAACCAATAATAAAGTTTATAAAAACAGAAAAATAATATTAATAATTGTGGTGAAGAAAAGATTCATTACTTGTCCAAGGTCTTCAGAACGTTTTCTTTCTTCAATATATTTCATTACAATTTTTTTTCTCTCAGCTAGTAAAAAAAATACGATTTGTTTGTGTTTTATTCGTTCTTCTTCAAAAGTATTGTGCAACTTTTTGTATTCATACTGAAGCTGTTGTTTTTTTAATCGCTCCAGATCTAATATCTAAATTAAATACATATAAAGAAAAAATAATAATTAAATATTAATAATTGTCTTCATAAATCATAGACCGGCTCTGGGAATTCAAATCAAATCTATGATAGAGGGTGCTAGCGACAGTTTAAATTATAATTACATACATAATTATTAAGCGTTTACATCAGTCAGTCAGGCACTTATTAGCGCCCTCTATTTCAATTCATGATGCACGGTGTTTGTAATACAGGCAGGGCCAATAAAAAATATAACATATTATAACATGTTGTGGTGATACTATGATAAATTTTGTAAATCAAAAATGTTGAACTTAATTGTTTCTCTTGAATACACACAAATATGATGATTTGAAGTTACATCAACTATATTCTCCATCAACTTATATCTTAATAATATGTCTTAAGAGGACACTACACAGACATTTGTTTTCCATTGTCCAAGTGCGTAACGTAGTAATTTTAACGCTCACATTTAGCCACGTTAACTTAAAAATTAGAGTGAATTTTTAATCATAACTTGCTTGAAAATTAAAATATAGCAAAAAAGCCTAGAAAATCCCTAGATAATAATATTATCTTTAAATTTTATAAGAAGTCAATTCACTCTTATTTTTAAGCTAACAGAGGTAAATGTGATCTGCTTAGTGTACAATTTACTATGTTACGTACTTGTAAGACGCAGACAAAAAATGTCTATATAGCATCTTCTTAATACAACATAAAAGTGATTAAAATGTTAAGGTTTAATTTTACTTTACCTTTCGATGCATAACTTGATTATCTTTTAAGACATTAGCTATCCTCAAATGAGTTCTCCTTTGCTGTAATACAAGATTTTCAAGCGATCCTAATTGTTGATATGAAAGACTATCATTATTTGTTTCAAAGGTGGCAAAGCAATCACGCTGTAAAGCTGCCAATGGATCTTTAACAACACGATCACTGCCTCTGTTTCTTAACATACATTTTACTTTTTCACACTGTATGGAAATACAAATAGAATTTATAAGTAAAGAATTTATAATATTTTAAACAACAAATTTATTACCTTTAAAGTTGCAATAACAATGTCTCTTGCTTGGAGTTCACCCTCTAAATAGCTTAAAAGCTTTAATAAATCAGACTTATTTAAATCCATTTTTGGAATTTTCTAAAAAACATTAAGTGGTTAATATTTTGAGTCATGATTTAAAATTAAAAATGTTAAGTGTTGGTAGTACCTTTACAGTATTTCTATCACTATTCTGACGTCCTTTGGCTTCATTTTGAGAACTATTACAGTTTATCGAATTTTCATTCTTGGTAGTCATAATGAGGATAAATATTGAACATTATCCTAACAAAAAAATTACAAATGTTAAAGGCTAGGCAGGGTTTAGTAATAATACACTATTATAATAGTATCAAAAACTAAAATAAAAATAAAATATAATATAGTATCTAATAGGAAGTTATTGATGGTAATAAATTTATGATTAGGTAGGTATTATTAAAATAATATATAACTTGTATTATTACATAACAATAATACCTCTTTGTACCTCCTAATACAAAAATTTTCAAAAATAATAAACAATAATTAAGTTACTCTATATGATAAGCACAGGGGTATGAGTAGCACCTTTAGAACCAAATTCACACAACACCACTTTGTGTAACGTGTACGCCTTAGTATATGTAGGCAATCAAATGGTTTTAACTCGTTACCTACAAATAGAACACATTCAACGACACACAACGTGGTGTAGCGTGAACCTGCGATTTTCAACATGACAAATGGTTTAACTAACAGAATATTAACCAGAATAGTGGTTAGAATTAGTAATGTAGGAAGTCGTTGAGCAACTGTGATCAGTACAGTGGGCAAGACCTATTTTCGACCTAACAGTTGGGTGGACCACATCTCGAGAAACACTGTGCAAACCACAGGCACAAAAATGAGAGACAACGAACGCGTCACCGACAGCGGTTTGGTCGAGTCTACGGTGTACGATCAACAAACGAAACATTAACAGTGTAAAGCATGCAACGCGCCCTCGTACCAGTCGTTTGGGCAGCTATGTAGACCAGTCTAGAGGCCCGGCGCCCCAACAGTGCCGGGAGACGATGGACAGAAACGTCGTCGGGATAGCGTACCTGGTGGAGACGCGACGCATGACCACTACGACGGGGCGGAGTTCATGCCGCTGCTGAGTGGTCGACGACGGGATGGTGAAACGGCGGTAAACGGCGGGACCGAGCAGAAACGCAATAAACCGGACCCAAAAAAAAAAACAAAGAAAACGGATCGGTTTGAACGACCGGATGACTCGTCGCTGGATCCACCGCCGACCGTGTTCTATACGATTGTCATTCGCAGTTTTCAAGCATCGCTCTCGTGGTATCAGTCTCTAAGGTCGTGGCTCTGATGGGGCGGGGCGGTGCGGTGGGCTGGCACGGAATTGATTAGGCGTACCTACGCGATATTCGGCCGGTGGACCGCGGTGCACAGCGGTGCGAGTCCAAAAAAACTAAAACGTCGCGTACGGCCGAGGGACGTAGAGCAGAGACGAGCGACTGGTCGTGCCGTCTGTGCAGGGATGGGACGGGATTTTCTGAGGCTCGAAAACCGTGTAAAATCGGGTGGCGAGACAACGGCCCTATGTTCGGGGAGCGCATCGGCCGTGTCTGCGGTGATGCGTGAAACGGTCGGCCGCTGCCGCCGACAGGTGTGCCGATCACACGGACCGCGTTTCACCTTCGAGACACACAATATTTTATTTATGTATAATATTGGCCTAAAATATTGTACCGTATCATTACATTATTATTAAATACGTATACGTCATGTTGTACCCATAATACGTATCGCATGATTATCGAATGGCAAAGGCAAAGCGTATGTACGTTGTGCGCTTGTGCGTGCGTACGAGGTACGACACATCGTACATACAAGCGCAAGCACACGCACACGAGCGCACGCAGACGGGCCGCACACTATCGGCACTGCCCCCCACCCAACACCCACCAACCCGTCTAACCCACCAAGTCTGCCGGTTACGGTGCCGCGTCGGTACATAATCTTTACGGTCAGGGTCAACGGAACGAAGCATGTGTTGTGTTGTGTACACTGTACGCGGGCTTTGTGTTAACCGGCCATATTGGAATGCTTGTAGTGATTGCACCACCACGGCTTTGGGCTTGCGGCGGTGATGGTGGTGATGCGGTTGGTGAAGAACGTTTTTTACCCTTTATCTCCGTTGATTAGATTTTCTTTAGGTCGGTTAGAAAATCGTAATAAAAGAATAATAAATAATGTTCCAAATATCTGCAAAAAACTAATAATTGGCATATTTAACCATAAATACAATTCGCCATAACAGAATAATATTGATTATTGTTGGTTTCGATAGATTTTTTTTTTTGTACGAAGCACCGGCAACGACAATCGGGACACGAAAAACCAACCACGACCGTGTTGTACGATAAAATATTATCGTGAAAAATATTGTACACGCTCGTGTACGGTTTTTTTTTTCTCTCCCCCGGCATCAACGCGCGCGCCATTTACGCACAGAGATATTATATTATTATTATTCCATAGTACCGTACTCGGGCCGCCGGATCGTGTAAACACAACGTTACTCGCGTACTACGCACGCCGCCGGTCAGCCGGACTAATCGTCAAGTAATCATAGACACCAGTGTCCGAGTACAGTGGATCACAACAATACGTCGATTGATAATTATTGTCATTAATGTGCTGCCTATCTCGTGGCGGCAGTGGACTACGTCAACGACGACAACAACAATAACAACGCCGCACTGATAATGATAATGCGACCGCCGTCCGAACCGGATTCGTCGATTCAAAGTGTTCGTAGTTGGTAATTTTAAAGGATCGCGGGACATGACCCATGCAGTTCGGATTGGATGGTAACTGTACCCGCTCAGTGACATGTACCCAGTTTCGTCAGGTAACTAACAATCCTATGACACATATAATAATAGTTATTAATCCGTAACAATAATTTAATTATTATTACCTGTGTCATTTTATAATTTACAACCGGTGGAATCAAGCTACGTATATCTTCTCCGTCTTGTGTTCTTCTGGCACTCCGGCTCTTGCAACACTACTGTCGTGTGCGACACCATCTGCGCAATCAAGTATTGTGTCGTGTATTACGTAAAATTTAATCCTAAGACGAGTATGTGATGCCAACAATACTTGTTCACGGTGTAGTTGTAGACTTTTCTTTGATTTTCTTTGAATCTAAACGATTAATTGTGTCTTAACACTGTCACTATACCATTGAATTTTGGTTTTAAAAATTTAAAATATACATGTAGATACTTGTATTAAGTATTTTCTTTAAGGTCAAGGTCTAACATTATTAACTCAAATTAAATACAACTATCAATGGCACTCATTATTGTACTTGTTAATCAAAAATGTTGATAGTGAGGTACCTATTCAAATTAAGTAAACACAAAAGTAGATTAATTAGTGTCAGTATTCACTATTCGGTTCTTATTATGAAAAGTACATATTTTTTTAAACCTCATATCAACATACAGATAGTGTGTTAGGTACTATCTCTAAACTCTAATGTTGCTAATTATCTATGTAAAATATTGATTATTGATTATAGGTAAGTTTCAACCTTTTTTTAATTGTCTTAGTAATTATTAGTTTTTTTTTATTTCTGCCATTTTGAATGACTTAGGAGATTTTTATCACTATTTGATCTAATTTATTGTAATCCATTGAAATTCTTTATAAATGCATACAATTAGATACTGATGAGGTTAATTTTATAAGAAAAAAATAAAAGTATTTTAAAATAAACTATTAACCTTAATTATATAGATTATATAAATAAGTGTACAGATTTGTATATTTATTTAAACATAATTACATTTTATCTGGGTACCTACATACAAATAGTTTTCTTAACTCTAAAAAGTCATATTAGTAAGAACAAATCTGCCTTAATAAATTTGTTAGATTGGGCTTAAAAATAATTGCAAAAATCAAAGAGTATTATCTCTCAATTGTAACATTATAACAACTAGGTGGGTACATTATTAGTGTACAAACTTACATTTCAAGCATGAATAGTTGTTCCAGTTGGCCTTATATGTCTACTTACAGATCTACTTACCTAACATACCTACCCTCACCATTTACCATTACATTATCTACAAACAAATACTCTATCAATAAGAATATCTGTTAACTTAGGCTGTGTTTTTGTGTATTTGGGATAAATTATTAATAACAATAAGTAATAATACTTATGCTAGTTTATAAGAATTTGCCTAAAGTTTTTGTGAAGTGCTCAAAAGTTTCTTTAGAATATAATCTTCTGTTTTTGAAATAGTTTCAATACCTATAAATCAATTTGATTTAACATTACTACTTTTTAATTACTTACATAAGATTTAATTGATTAATTTAATGTTATACATTTTTTAATTTGTTTGGTGTTGATAATGTCATAAATAATTTAGTAGGTATTTAAAATAATTGTCAAAAATAGATTATTGATTAAAACTTTAAGCCATTAGTACCCAATAGATTTCCTAAGTTAATTTAAAAGCAATCATCTATTCATTAAATAGTGAAATAAATTTTCTATTAAGTTGTAACCAGTTAAATCTATGAATCATAATAATTCAGATTTATAGGTAAGTTACTTTAGTCAGCACATTTTGTTATTCATAATAATTAATTAATTTCTATTAATTTCAAATAGATTTGTATTAGGCCACCTTGTTCCCTAAGATTTTTTTGTCTCGATTATTGAACATTATATTCTTGTTAATTATTGTGCCCACCAAATGGATACCTAACATTTTTATTTATTTGTTTCTCTACTGCATACCCGAGTGCATGCCTACCTAGAAACCAAAATATTTTTATTTTTTTTAGTGATAATACTAAATGTACACATCTTCTTGAAGTTAATTTATGATGAAGCAATTAATCAATAAGTATCAAGATAATTATTTTTAACTGTTGAAATAGTGAATTAAAAATATTTTCCTACCACTATACCCAAAATAATAAACAGAATTTATAATTTGTAAACTACCTATTCATAAAATAAATAAATTAATAATCAGTAAATAGAGATATAATATACACCTAGTTGTTGTTGGATAACTAAGAAGACTATAATATTGTTTGTCTATAACTTATATTAAAAAGTAGATTTTATTAAATTAACGATTGTTGCTGTTAAAGTAGGTACCTAGGTATATTTTATAGGTACTTTAATACTATTGACCATTTGGTATGTATGTTACCTTATTATAATTTATTTTTACTAAATAGTATAAAATGTTGAGAACCATTATTTAGTGTTAAATATCACACCAAGTTATTTGACGATGACTGTGGGGGGAAAAAAAAATAACCCAATGGAAATTCATTAAATTCCGTTGTTAGAAATATTTTATTTTTCTTTATATAGAAAATTCCAATGTATGATAATTGGTAGTTAATTGTAATTTATTTTTATGTTTAAATTATACCTTTGTTATTACCAATAAATTTTAATATGATGACTGCAATAAGTTTAGCTATAATTTGTTTTATTCTTTATAGTTCTGTTAGGTATAACAAACTAATTCTCAATATTTAAATAATTATAAATATATTATTACAGATATTATTATTATGTCAACTCTCAACATTTATATATAGCTACATCATATCATTGATTTTACATAGATTATCATGTGACCACATCACCTATGGCTTTATTAAATTATCAACACTTCTATAATAATTTACAAAATCGCAAATATTTCAAGCTTAGGGCCAGTTGTACCGTTTATGATTCTTAATCAGCTGATTAAGCTTAATCATAGTTTAATCATAGACTGTACATTTGGCCCTTAGAGTTACAATTATAACTTACTAGGTACTTATACTCTATTTCACGAGAGAACGGTACCGTTTCGCGCATGTAAAATGATTCGATTGGTGCGTGAACGACCACGTGATCACGCTTACCACTGATAGTTGGTGGGGGATGCGCGGCGGCGGACCCGTTTTGGTCGGCCGCCGCTACCTTTCTCTCGTGAAAAAGAGTATAGTATGTTTTAAGCTCAAAAAAGTGACAATTATTTGATATGATATATTTTTTTGTGACTTTTGTACCTATGTAGGTATCTTAATTTTAAATTATTGTTTTAGGCTTTGATATTATCTACTTTTAATTTCCCTAATACTTTATTATTTTAAAAAATGTATGTACATTTATCTTTTAAAATATGTATAAATATTAAAGTAGTTTTGCATTGGTTTATAGAATATTAAGAAATACTTTAAAATCTAACTATAAATTGGAAGGTATACCTATTAAAATGTATTTGTAGACATTTTGAAAAACTTGAAAGTCTGTATTTAAGAAAA